GTCGGAGCGATGATCTGCTTTTGTGTGTGTGTGTGTGTGAGTTGTAGAGAGGAAGTAATTAAATTGTAATGCGTGTTGATTTGTTTAGAGTCCCTCAACAGGCGGCTGCACTTTCCTCAAGATACTGAACCAACAACCTTTACCCATAAACATGAATAAGGTAACTACACAACACTACACAACAGGAGACGGCGGTGAGGGAGAAACCGGAGGAAGAATCTAGAACAGGAGGAAAAGCCATCGAGAATATCAGGCGACTGCTGACACACATTTAAGTCTGAGCAGTTGAATTTTTAAGGTGTTGTAGCCACTAATAAATGCTAAAAAAATATATATATATAAATATATATATATATGAAATAAAGGGGTGACACGGTGTATACCTCAGTTGGTCAGTTGGCATTTCTGTGTGGAGTATGTTCTCCCCTTGTTGGTGTGGGTTTCCTCTGGGTGCTGCGGTTTCCACCACAGTCCAAACCAGTGGTCACCAAACTTGTTTCTGGAGGGCTGGTGTCCTACAAATTTTAGCTCCAACCTTAATCAAACACACCTGAACAAGCTAATCAAGGTCTTACTTGGTATACTGTACTTGAAACATCCAGGCAGGTGTGTTGAGGCAAGGTTGGAGCTAAACCCTGCAGGGACACCGGCCCTCCAGGACCAGGATTGGTAACCCCTGGTCCAAACACATTCGCTATAGGTGTATTGGGTAAACTAAATTGGCCGTAGTGTATGAGTGTGTGTGTGTGTGTGTGAATGAGTGTGTATGGGTGTTTCCCAGTACTGGGTTGCATCTGTTGTGTAAAACATATGCTGGAATAGTTGGCGGTTCATTCCACTGTGGTGTGCCCTGATAAATAAGGAACTAAGCCGAAGAAAAATTAATGAATATTTTTGGAAATTTTTGAGTGAGATGCTAATGGTCTAAGCTAAGCTAAGCTAAGCTAAGCTAAAAGTGCTCTCACCAGAACTGAAGATTGGCTGAATGGGTTTTAAAAGTGGTAAAACACAACAGTTTATCTTTAGGAGACTTGTGAAATTAGCTTATCTTTAACTAGGTAAATTTGTTCAATTAAGCAAGTCATTGCTGCCCTGCTGAAAAATCCAGCTTTAACCAGCCAAGGCTGGTTTTAGCTGGCCGACCAGGCTGGTTTTAGAGGGGTTTTGGCCACTTTCAGGCTGGTTTCCAGTCATTTCCAGCCTGGTCTTA